AGACGGGAACAATTAAGATCCTCCTAGCACCGATTAGGATAATAGCGACACCGGTAGCCAGATAGACGGTAACAATCAAGATCCTCCTAGTACCGATCAGGATAATATAGATACTAGTAGCTAGACAGACGGGAACGATTAAGATCCTCCTAGCGCCGATTAGGATAATACAGATACTAGTAGCTAGATAGACGGGAACGATCAAGATCCTCCTAGCGCCGATTAGGATAATAGGGGTTTGAACGATTTAGACGGTAAGAAGCAGGCGACTATCGTAATTTCGAGCGGTAATAAGAGCTCGGAATACGATCTAGATACTAATCCTAGCGTTTAAACTAGTTATCCTCTAGCTAATAAGGAGAATGCTTAGGACGATAATACGGTACCCCTAACGACAGAGGATAAATATCTCTAGGCTCTCCTCGATTATATTAATACTTAAGAAGAAGAAGACGAGGAGATAGCTTCCGAGAATTCAGATTTTCCTTTTAAGCAACTAGGTATACCGCTTAGTCAAGCAGATTTTCAGTATAGCGACGAGGATATAGGTACCTAGGATCAAGATATCTCGCTTAGCTAAGACTACAATCCTTTCGATCATCTAGATTTAGAGGAGACGGGTCCTAATTCTCTCTAGGAGAGTCGACTAGATATAGAGAGAGAGGATAAAGAAGAGAAGTCGTAGTAGGAGTTTGACGAGGAGATAACAGAATTAGAGGATATAGTAAGGGTAGCGTATACGGTAGCTATAGATTAAGCGAATAATCGGGGTATATAAGAATTCGTAGCTAGGGGAAGTATCGACAAGATACTAAGTATACTTATAGAAGAGCCTATTACCGAACGAGATAGACTAGAGACAGAAATTTCAGCTCGCTTTATCCTTAGAGCTACTTGTTTAAGGACCCTATTATTAATAAGGACGGAGCCGGCTTTCTAAGCGGCCTAGCGAAGAATAGAGATACGTAAGGCCTAGAGAGTAAGGCAGTAGTATATAGTAACCGAAAGTCGGTTTAAATACTAGATACGCGTTCTAGCTAGGCTAGAGAAGGAGATATTAAAGTATTTACTATAAGCCTAAGATCTGAAGTAATTTGGTTTTTCTAATTTTCGTAGTCGGCAGGTATAGTCGGCAGGTATTATTAGCTATAGAAGGAGATGTCGAAGTACTTACCGTAAACTCCTAAATTAATTTGCTTTTTCCTAATTCTCGTAGTCGGCAGGTATAGTCGGTAGCTATTGTTAGCGAGTTTAGGCAGTACGGTATATACGAGGCTTATTACTGTTCCAGAAGCGCTTACTATGTTTATTCTATATCTAGAAGAGGTTTTACGTAATACCTATCGCAATACCTATTGGGTATACCTATTGGGTTTTTTCCGTTGGGTTGTACCTAGCTTATAAGCTGGGTACCTACCTTATTTGCGGGGTTGGGTATTAACGTTAGGTTGTACCCAACCCATACCCAACCCAACCTATAACGAGGCCTAGATCCGGTATAGAAGGGATGCCCTACCGATCGGAGACGTTCTGAATCAAGA